TTTTCCGACTCTTGATGTAGATAATAAAGCTTTTGTGTGGGCGTAAAAATCCTAATACGGCTATGGAATGAAATTAGATATAAATACCTTTAGGACTGTTAATGGCCACTTACTTAGTTAGACTTTCCTTTTCTACGTTTAAGATAGTGATAGACGGTTAAGATAGTGTTCCCAATTTACGGGTCTCGCCAAAATCAGTTATTAAAATGTTCTATATGTGAATTTCAATTTAGATTAAAAGTATAAAGTAACAGACCATTGACGAATAGAGCTTTCTTACAGTAAAATAACTGATATTAAGGAAAAATATTTAATTAAATTTGAACAAACCCTGTTTTACATATTTATGATCCGATTGAAAATAATGCTTACTTGAAACCGACTTATTGTTAATTTGTATAAAGATTTTCTTACCAATTCACGTTTGAGCAAAAATTTTGTCATGTAAATATTCTTCTAACAAAAACGGTCTAATGATATCTAAAACGTAGAAGTTTTTACTTTGTGGACAATAAGGAATAATAAGTGCTATTACGCAATTAAGATAAAAGTTTCTTAGTTTTCGGATGGTAGCTCGATCAAATGAATCGAATAGGATGCATTGTTATTAGGGGGCGTCCCACAAGTGAGATTGGGTGAGATTTGGCTCGACCCCCCCCTAAACACCTCACGTAATTAATGGACGCCCCTTCCATCTCACTAGACTTGCAAACAATAGTATATTCGACCATATGCTGAATACCGAACATTCTGCGGGCTCTTTTTATTTGTGAGCAGCTATGCAGATCTAGAGAGAGAGGGAGAGAGAGACCAGTATCACTGCGACTTAAAAGATCTGTCATGATCGCTGCTATGGCTATAGTTCACTGCTAAGCCCTACGTCTTCAATGAATAGAAGGAGTTGCATAACTGTGAGCAATTTCACTTCTTCTGGGCGGAGTACATAGTTTCCCAGATGAGTGTTACGTTTGCGCATTATTATCTTCCGTTAAGGAACAAAACCGGCACATCCTTGAGTTGCTTAGTCCCAGAATAGACATGTGCTTTTTAAGACAACTTTATCCAGTCAGGGCATTATCCAACAGATTTTAAGTGATTTATTGAGATTAAGAGTTTCAAGGGTCAATCGCGCTAGTCTTTTTGAGTTTTCACAAAATGGCTCGGGTCCAAATTGTGTACAGTTTGAGCCCTCCCGTGCGAGCTTGTCGGCAGTTTCATTGCCTACAATACCCGCATGACAGGAACCCATCTTAAAACTACCTTGTTGTTACCTCCCAAGGCGTTTAGGCGGTTCATGCAGTCTCCAACTAGCTATGAGTTCACCAAGTTTGATCTCAGCGCTAGCAGTGCTGCTTGACTATCATAGTTAATATAGATTATATGGTTAACATAGTGTTTTTGTAAATTGATTTCCTCACACTAGAGTATAGCGAAAATTTCTGCCTGGAAGATAGAGGTGAATCTACAAACTTAGTATGAATTTGGGTCTCTCCCCATAAATTCCAATGCCTATGTTGAGGCCCATTTTTGACCCATATAAGGTTACCGATCTCACAGATGACCTGTCCATTCCACCAGTCTTCTCTGGAAGGTAGTTCCACTGTATACTTTTTGTTAAAAGTATACAGTAGACGCATGATATCTGAGATCTTGCATAAGACCGGTGTTTCCTTGATTGAGTCGAGCATGGATCTCAATCTATAGGAAAGCAAGCTCAAACCGCCCAGAGCGTTAATCTTATACAGACTAGCCTTCGCCTCTATGTCTAAGTAAAGATCAAGGGGCGTTAGGCCTAGAATTGCATTAAGAGCCGCTCCAGGTGATGATCGCATCGCTCTAGTTGCCATTAAGCAGGCAGTCCTTTGTAGACTATTTAGTCCGTCCACAGTCGTCTTTTGGTTGGCCTTATTACACCAGACTAGTGTTGCTCAAATGCAGGAACAAGACAAGACTTAGCAAATCTTGGTCTTGGTCTTGCGCCAATACACCTGGTACTGGTCTTGGTCTTGGTATTGCTCTCCCAGTCTTGGTATTGGTCTTGGTTTTGCAGCAAGAGTCTCGCAAGTCTCGCAATGACCTATTAGCCTATTACTTCCGAGCTGGCGGCTCTGGGTTTACTTAGGTATTCCTTCAACCCGTTAATTACTAAGCCTTGTAGACAAGATCCAGATCCATTTTTACACATTTCAAGTGTTTTAAAAGTGTCCACAATATTTATCAAATAGTGCGTGCACTTTGTGTTTTAAAAACACACACTTCCAAAAGTCGAGATTTGCAGTGAATTTATTGAACATTATTTATCTATTAGTTAACAACAATAATAATAATAAGTAATTATTATAAACCCATATAGTTAATATTATAATAATTACTTACCAGAATAGATTATTATGATATCTATCTATCCTTACATCCCCTTACATCATCTTCACATCTAATTACAATATTCCTTGCCAGATCAGCATAATGTATTCGTGTCCATTCTGAGCACCCGGAAACTCTTTTTATTCTTTGGAACATGTACTCGGTGGCAGCAATCAAACAGTGTTAAATGTAGTGCAGTGCGTGCGGCGCGGCGGCGACTATTGTATGCGATATCAATAGTAGCCGCCAGCACGTGTATCTTGACCTTGTACTTTCAAATAGCTGCACAATTTCTTTGATAGGTTAGTATCCGACCTTTGATGACGCCGACAACAAGACGCCGCGCACTATCAAAGTACCGTTGGTCAAAACTAGGGATGCACTCTTTTTTCTTTTACTTGATATTTTCATTCGCTATGTATGTTTATGGTATTGTTCGTAATGCGCATAAGTCCAATGGATGAATGGACAGTGGATGCGTAGGTAAGAATCGGCCTCACTATGCAGCAGTACAGCCATAGGATCATAGTGGGGTGCAAGTCCCAGTTGTTGTTAACCATATGACTGCACGTACCCAAAGCAATTTAAGCCTTATAAAATATGTTGCTACGGTGAGAGTTCACGTTAGGTTTGATCGATTGTTACGGTGGAACTAATTTTTCTAGCCGTCTCTTTTTGGTTAAGGGTATTATAACAGTTTTATCGGCATTGACTGTTATTCTGCGGGCTTCCTGGCCGAATATCAGGCAAAATATTCCGACCGGAAATGAATTCCTCACAAATTCGTACGCGAGGAATTTATTACGTTTAGATTACACGGGTTCTATTTTTTTCGCGCATAACCCTTATTCTTTTTCTAAAATAAAAGATTTCTCCTTATAAAATCAGCTATCTGCCAATGAAAGTCCCGTCAAAATCAGTCCAGACATTTCTGAGATTAGCCGGAGAAAAGAGACAGACAGACAAAAAATTTAGAAATTGGTTTTGTTATAAGTCCAATATATACTTTCATATGCATTTAATAAAAAGCTGTTAACTGTACAAACAGGCACTTCAATTTCATTTATTTGTATAGATTCAGAGCGTCTTTTCTCTAAGCTGTGGTATGTCTACAAGAATAAAAGGAATAAGTCAGGCAGTAGTGCCTGAAAATACAGAAAAATTTGTCTTTCTTGACCGTAATCTTCCACTTCTACTTTTTAATTATGAGATAATTCAAATGCAGAGACATTAAATTAACTGTTTATTTCTTTATTTTTAAAATACCTAAGTTGATCTATGACTACTTGAATGATTACAAGAAAATACATTATCATAAAATAAATCAATATTTTCATTTCACTAATTATCTGACTACAACAAAAAAAATTACTTAAGTATTTGGTATTCGGCCGAATAATACCTAAATATTCGACCGAATAGGATAAAAGTAGCCGTGTAGGCCGAATATTCGTTGCAAATCTACACCTTACTTGCTTCTGGCACAAATAATTAAAAATTAAAAATTTTGAACAACCGACTTCAATACAAACTACTAAGAATAACTCATAAACTATTGGGCAGACCTTGATCAAATTTATATGAGACCACAGGAGAAGCTTTCAAATAAAAATGGAATCATCGAAATCAGTTCACCCAGAAAAAGTTATGAAGTAACACACATAAAAAAAACATACAGTCGAATTGTGTACGTCCTCCTTTTTGAAGTCGGTAGATAAATCGGTATACCATATCGGATGACATATTTTCCTCCTGACATTGCTCATAGTTGTCTTCTATGAAACCCACGGGACGAAATGGGGGATTCTCATACTCCTCCACCGACGGTAATTTTTTTTATAGGGTAAGGGTGACAATCGAGCACACAGCCCACCTGATGATAAGTGGTTGCTACGGCCCATAGACATCTAAATCTATCCTCTATTACAAATCAAAATGCAAATGCGTTGTCACCCGTGAGGACTAAGATTGAATGCCTTATTTCCAGTAAAAAGGGTCTCCGGTTCTCTACACTCACCATACGAAACACAGCAGTGTTAAGCTGCTATTTAACGCTGGTATTCTGTGAGAGCGTGGTCCTTCCCCGGTCGAGCCGACCCATTCGTGCTACAACTATACTACTAATAAAGCTGCAGCTGGCTCTACCAATTCTAAGTGCTACTGTGATCGAAATCGTATAGAGTGAGTATTTGATGGGTACTAATACAGTAGTGTTCACCTCGGTCTCACCTTACATTACACCCGTGATGAAGTTTAATGAAGGTGAAGTTTTTACTGTAATTATTTAGACGAAATTCTAGTTATTACCTTGAGCTTGTGATATTTCTTTCAATCACCGGGGTCGAAATTATAAAATTTTTAATAAATAGTAAAATTACTTCAAAGAACGATAAATAATTTTCACATGATAGCTTCTAAAATCAAGACTTAAATTTTTGTATATACTCATGACTTATTTTTTTTTAAATTAATGATCTCGATGTTTCGAGTCCTTTTATGAATGATTTTAGACTTGAAGTCTAAATAATATTTTGTTTATAAATAAAAGATAATTGTATGAAAACAAATTTTACTTAAATATTCAGTTCTGACGACAACAGTATTAAATTACATCAATCCCAAATCTTAATTCGTACCTAAATAAGTAATTTCTCTAGTTCAATTAGAATATTTTTAATTAGTTTAATCAAGGCCGTCAGCAAACCTTTACCGTCTGAAAGGCCAGTAAGCAGACTTAAAACTAATTTAAGGATTTCTAAAACAAGTCCCAACAAAAGGCCTGGTGCTGCCAAAACATTTGACCTAAATAGCGATATCAAAACACTGATATATAAAAATAAGACTGAAGCTAGATCTGTCAAAGTAGCGTAAAGTAGAGGCAAAGTGCAACCAAAGTATGGCAATATCGCTGGCGTCAAATTTTGAACTATGTTAGACAAGTTATTTAAATTGTTAATCAAGTTAATAAGGAAAGGAATTAGGAGGCATGCTAATTGATTTGCAACTGGCAACACTGTCGATATTTCGTCAAATGCTAGTCGTAGTGCTGAGACGGAGTAGGCCGGTATCATTGCTTCACTTTTATTTACCTAAAATGAAAAATACAAAGTATTAGTAGACAAATATTAGTATCGGTGTACTACTCCATATAGTTATAATTCATGGGTAGCGGTGGCGCAAGAGAATCATAGATCCTATCTTGCCCCGAAGATAGCTTTGAGAAATGTCCAAAAGATGTTATGACATCCAGTAGATCGATTACGATAGACGGTACCGTTAGATGTGAAATCTTCAGCCAAGTAACATCAAAGGTGCATGCCGCTTGGTTCTTTGATCATTTTATGAACACCCACCAAGATGGTGATTTAGGCAAATTATCTTTCCGAATGAAGATGCCTATGTCCAGCAGTAATATTTATATACTGCTTATGGGGCGTTTTATGGATTTATGAAGAATATAGCACATGATTAAACATGTAGTGTTATAAAGGAGAATAAAATAAAATAAAATACTGACCAGCAGAATGAAGAGAAAAGAAAAAAACAAAAGCCGTGTATGCATATTTAAATTTAGAAAACTTAGCTACTCTACTTTAATTACTTATATGTTGTGACAAATAAAAGAAATTATAAGTTTATATAAACGCTTTCTTATCTCTTATCTCTTGCACTATATAAAAATATTCGTTACAACATAAGATTATACTGGATCGTTTCTGCTGCAATAAATATAATGTAATTTCAAATAATACGATAAACCAAACTAAAATGTTAATCTGCTAATACAGGTTTTTAGACGAAAAGCTCTTAAGTACTTAACATTCCTCCATATATAATTCATTTTCTATATATATAGAAGATATATATATATATATATATAGAAGTTGCTATGCCGTTGCCTTTGAGAAGTTTCGAAATTTTTCTGGCACTTATATGGGTGAGTGAGGCGGATATAGGCGCCTCTGATGGCACAGGCGGAAATTGGGCGATATATTCCCCTACGCCGCCTCTATACGGCACATATCTATATGAGCTTTTTATTAAGAAAAAAATGTAGTACTGTCATAACTAATTTTGATAACTGTATTTATATTTGTTCAAATAAACTTTATTTAGAAAAACTGCGTTTACGAGCGATTTACAAGCGCTTTTTACTGAAATATCTCTTATTCAATTGATAAGACATCTTTGTGTAGTCATATCATCAAAGGTCTGGAGTATTATGTATACGTTTTCAAATAATTGGTTACTTTTGCGTCAGAAGCGAGTCCGAATCTACGCTTCATACATTTTGGACCTTGTGCGCGAGTACCGGGTTTTTTAATTATTTTTTTTTTTGTTATTTTTGTACCGTGTTATTTTGTTTCCGTTTCTTTGAGTTAAATTATTTAAACGATTATATTTTTAATCGAAAACACTTAACTTTTGGTGTTTTCTGAATAAATTAAGATGAAAATACGCCTTGAAAATACCGCGGCATTATTACGATGTATACCGCGTAATAGTGATCTCAGATACTTGATTCCTTTTTTTAATTTTCAGTATTGTTATATGATTAGGCCCTTCCCGTTTTGAATATAACAATTTAAAAAGACAATATACTAAAATATATTTCCGAGGTATGCTTTTGCATTTATTCACTTATTATAGCAAGGTGATTAATTTAGGTATTTTGTCAATTCATTGTATGGGAAAGCTGGAAAGAAAATTTAAGTTCATACTCAATTCGATGTAATATTTAGCAAGTATTATATTATATTATACTTTTTAATTCCATAAATTATACTATTAGAAAGCCGGAATAACCATGCTATTCAAGAATATAATTATAAAGCAGAAGCCTTCCGTTGGAGTTCGGGATGAAGAGTAAGTGGATCCAGATACCTAATTTACTAGGTATAGGTAGGTAGTTGGTAGAATTCTTTTTGCCGTCTAGCAGTCTTTCTCTATCGGTTACTTTTACCTAATTATGTCAATAATCATTCACTGTAAATGTCTGTAATGTTACAATTTGAATGATAAGAAGAGCTATTATAATTACAGACCGTAGCTATCCATCGATATATATGTACTACGCACTAGATTTCGCATTCCGAACATTGGACTATGTCCAACTGAACTGTACTGCAATCCGTACACTAAACTAAATATTGCGTAAATTGAAGATTTGTGAATTCCATAAGATAATTTTTATCACATTTTATTCAGAAATATGTTTGTTTAGATTAAAATAAGAGTATTTTATATTAAATTCTTATATTTATTTTATATTAATATCTTATTTTATATTAAATTAAAGTATCTCCCGCGCATGCGCGAAGACATAGAGTAGTGCACAATTTTTGTTTGGAATGGCTTCTCTAGTACGTAGTACATATAACTCAATGGTGGTATCCCATCTTAGTCCTCAGTGTGACCGCGCTTCTCTAGACGTTTTACTCAAAGTTAGTTGTAGATATCCGTGTACCACAATACTAAGAGTATCCATCAGGTACTCGTAAGTATTAGATAAATAGTCACTCCTCATTTTATAAAATTCGAAAATTTCAAATACAATCGTATTTTAATAATACCCATAATGGTTATTCCATCACATGTCGGATACCATTAAATTTTCCTCACCCTTCTCTAAATCAACTTACCAAAAAAACGAGATATTGGATTCCATTATACTGCACTTTCTTCTAATTATTTGAGAATATGACATTTACTGTGGATAAATTTAAATGAATATTTAATATCAGATTTGAGTATGTTATTATGTCATACGTGATCAATTATTGAGTAGCTTAATTGATACAAATAACTTGATTGGCCTCAATTATTTCCTTTGATAAATAATTACAGGTGTTCGTTATCTAAATTTGTGTAACGTTATCGATACATTTATATATCATATTCTGAAATAGAAGAATAAGTTACAAATATTTCAATAAAAGTGTTTAGCGCAAGCGATGATAAAAATTATCATGTAATATCCTCAAAGGCTCTTTGGTCGGAACTCAATACTTTTATCAACAAAAAAAAATTAAATTTTGCAACAAAACGTAATATATATCACGGTATAGTAAAAACTCTATCACAATACTAGCATAGAGTTTCAAGGGATATTGGTTTTGTTCTTGGTAAATATCATTTTTATACAAAATGAATAAAATTAAATTCGTCTTTGTCTGTACCGTAGCTGTATTTGTTCTAACGGTGAGTTAAAAACGTAAGCATGATAATGTATAGACTATAAAATACAATCAGAATAGAAACAAGGACTTAAAAGTTTTAAAATCCTTATTTAGCTTATAAAAGGAAGAAAATAAAATTTATATCTACAATTCATTTGCCATTTTTAAACAATTTTTTCGTTAAATAATCCAATATCGTCAAAATTCCAAATCCAAAAAATATAACGAATTTTCAAAATCGATGATGAGTTCCTTTGTACGTAATAACATATAATTCTTAACTGTGCCTTTTCATATGCACATAAATCTATAAAAATTAATATTATAGGAGAAATGAAACTAATTTAATTTTTAATTATTTTTCATAATTATTCATTTAACTCTCTACGTTTCGGGTGCTTTACAGCACCCATGGTCACGGGGAGGACTGAGGTGTTTGAAATTCCGATGTCATAGTTAACCTTCAGTTTTTAAAAATTATTTTTATAAAATTACAAAGTTAAAATTAAACGCAATAAAATCTGTAAAGTTAGATTCGTTTAATGTGTAGTCGTTATTATAGGAGAAACTTAAAATTATATTACGTGAAATTTTTTAATGTAAATTAATTAAAATGTTACATTTAATTTCTTTTATCGATAATTAGTGTAGATAAAATATACATACACTCTATTTCTTTCAGCCCGTATCAGCGACATCTGTACAGCTACCAGCAGTGTACCCTCTAGTCAACGTACTCCTACCTCTTCTGAACAACGTTTACAATCTTCTTTTATCCCTGCTATCAATTTTCGACACCCTCCCACCTTCAATAAGCTGCCTTATACCTGTAGATTTAGGAGCGTTAGAGACATCCCTTCTTAAGCTTTACTCACAAGCTTTAGCTATTATCAATTTCCTTAGATCCTTACCCGAGTATGCAATCGGAGCTAACCCGGACACGCCTTCAACGGGTGTGGCAAACTTGCAGGGTCTTCTCACAGCGCTGGTTGCAGCAATCACAGAGTTGGCGGAGGATGTTTTGGTGGGGCTTGGTGGGGCTATGTTACCAGGTCTATTGCAGCTGGTTGTCATGGTCGTACAAGCCTTGCTTAACTTGTTACTTTAAAGAAAAAATAGCAATAAGTAATTTAACATGCAATTATACTTGAATAAATTAATCATTTCCTATCGTTTTATTTAATAAAAAATAGTATTCATTCCTGTTCTGCGCCTTGCTATTATCAATCCAGTCTCCGTTACATTCGCTTGACTTTTTAATCAAAATCACCAACCTGGTAAAAATAAATGCTCATATAGACCTCACAAAATTCCGATAACTTAAAATATAAGCTAGAATACTTTCTTAAAAGAAATGTCAAGCCTAAGTATCACGCACGTTGCGTTCTGGTTTGGATGTTTGGTATTCATCTTCATGCCTTTCATACGAGTACAACATTTTTTTATAAATTTAGTGTAAACGAGCTAACAGAAAGCGGCTACTTTGACTTTTGGACACCTATTGCTTGCAGGTGTCAAACAAAGAAACGGATAGAGTTTCGTTATCACCCTGACTAAGATGAAATGCCTCATCGCTTTTAATTCTCCTGGCTCTCTTACCTCTTATCTCTTAGTTAATTGGGCGCAGTTATGCTTAGTGACAGAAATATGTAGTCCAGATGTTCTTATAGGTTGAATTATAGGAGCTGTCATCATCATCGTCATTACAGACCTTCACAAACCCACTGCTAAACATAGGCTTCACCCAAGTAATGTCGCAAAGCACGATCATGCATCCATAGACTTCCTGTATGTCCTAAGATGTCGTCACTCCGTCTAGTGCTAGCAACATAACCCAACGGATCAGTAAGCTGAAGTGGCAGTGGGCCGGCCATATAGCTCGAAAAACTGACAAACTAATGTGGAAGAAAGGTTCTTAACCAGGAGACCGACAGACAGTCTAGTAATTTAATTTAAATCTTTTTTAATTATATGCTGTGATTACACCTTTCACCTGACAGTGGAATGTTACTGGCCGCTCTGTGTTTTACTTTTATGACTTAAATATCCACCTCAGTAGATGGTGTTTAATCCTACCTAAAACGTTAGGGTTCTATATCCAGTTGTGGATATAGATAGGCTGATAAGGGTAAAGAAGTAGAAGGCGATGTTAATTATATTAAATCTAAGTTCGAGTAATATAATAATTAAATTTACTTAAATATATTACAAAAATATAGGATTTCTAGAGTGACGCTATTTATGATATCCATTCATCCATCCATTACGACCTATAAAAGTCCATTGCTGAACATAGGCCTCCCCCATAGACTGCTTCATAGGAGGGATTTTGCCATAGTTGACACGCTTGGTGAACGGGTTATCAATCGCAGTTTTTTTTAATTAAATTGAGATGTTATCAGGAAGATGCTGCTGCCAATCACCCGTTTCAATTTCCCTCTGTCGCTCCTTACAATACCCAGGGGACGATGTGTAATTATTCTTACATTGTTACTACACGGTACTATATATCTTTATATGTTTTTATATGTTGTACTATATATGTATATATGTTTATCTTAAATATTTATTATGAAAAATTATAGCTTTAAAGCATCTTATTATACTGGTTACTTTACTATGGAAAACTGACGCCCAGTGGGCTACTGGTGGTTCACTTATTGAGGGCTTATGGAGTACTTTTGATAACAAGTTTCTTGCTGGTTCTTCCCAGGACAGAGGTTTTTTTTTCGAACCAGTGGTAAAGTAAAAAATGACTTTCAATAAAAATTACACAAGTGATCTATATTGAATAAAAAAATATTCTATTCTATTCTATTCAAGGCCACGGAAATAATAGAGAAGGGCTGTGCAAAAAACCGTAACCAAATCTCAGTTACATTCAAATAATGATTTCTTATATTTACATTAATAACAGATATTGAATAAAAATAACTAATAATAAAAAAGTTTTATTCAATAATACATGTGGTTAGCAAGTTAAACAAATTTTATTCGAATCTACAATCTTCTATTCAGCAAATACATTGATGACATCACACTGTGTTCGAATCAATAATTTAAAAATTAATAATTTTTCCTGTACAAGTTAATGTGTGTACTATAACAATATTGCCTCACGCACTTATAATCTAAAATAAACGTAAACCATTTTAGTGAATAACATTACACGGTATATATAAAAGGCCACTATGATACCACCCTTACGTCACAGTAACGACGTACAAGCTCGTTTAAGGTAGTTAGAGGGCGGAGAAGGGGTAATGGAAGTGGGTACACTCATTCATACTAAAAGGGGTGGCAAACACTTTGTTCTAAAATTTTTACTCTTTTTTTTTTAAAAGAAAAGAGTAAACCTATAATATTATCATTTCATTACATTTCATTTCATGTACATTTGTGACAAACTAGTACATAGCCCACCTGACGGTAAATGGATGCTTGGCCATTGACACCTACATCTATCTTTGATTGAGAATCATCAACATGTTTCAAGCTTAAGCGGTGAGCATTCTGGCTCTGGTGAGGATACCTACAATAATGAGCATACGGTTCACCGGAAGGTAAGTAAATGTCGTGGCCCAGAAACAAGTATCTTTTATCCTTGGTTAAGAATCAACATGCAGTTTTATTGTCACCCGTGAAGACTAAGTTGGCATGTCCCATTATTAAAAAAAGGGTCTCCTATTTTTGTCACTTTTCATACGAAATATAGAAACACACACATGATTATGCTGATATTTCACGCTGGTTTTCTAAACTACGTGGTAGAGCCATGCTACAGTTATATTAGTAGTATATAATATAGTATATATATATATATATAGTTGTAGCATAAATGAGTCAGTTTGACCATGGAAAGCCCATGCTCTCACAGAATAACAGCGTAAAATAGCAGCTCAACGCTTCTGTGTTTCGTATGGTGAGTGTAGAGAACCGGAGACCCTTTTTACTGGACACAAGTCCTCACGAGTGACAACCCATTTGCATTTTGATTCTTAATTAAAACAAATATAAATAAATTAATTATTAGCGTCTATTAAAATAAAGCGTCATTTGAAATAAAATACACTATGACACAAGGAGTAGTGATGAAAAAAATCATACACTTTTTGTCGTCTAGCTCCCATCCGCCAAACTCGTACCGTCCGATAAGGAACTTCGTTCCAATAAGCCAATTTAGACTGCTGCTAAGTATTTATGTGTAATATGTTTTTTATAATAAAAAAAAAAACTTCTAAACTTTCTTTTCAAAAATATTCACAGTGATAATTTCATTTTCATTTTCATTAAATTCATATTGGGTTTTGGTACATTGATTTATATCAAAAAAGATAAATTTGGATATAGAGACGCGCGCTCCATATTAAAAAAGCTTCCGGTAATTTCAAGTAAATGCGCTATACGTCTAGATTAAGTAAGGGCAATTTCAAACGAGCGTATTTTTCTGAAACAACTTTGGGAAACTCATCGATAAGCATAATATTTGGATCGTTATAAATAAATGTACATTTAACTAAATTACTTTCAACATTTTCACTTTAGTTTTAGTAAATTTATATTGCCTTTTTTAATTTCCTTATTAATGCAAATAATCGTTACAAATCATAACATATATTAACGTATGACGTTCGTAATAGTGTAAGTTTAAAAATATTAAAGGGTTAAGAAACCACCTACGTAAATGCTTCCTTATTTATTTTTGTATTTTTTTAATAAGAACTCATTTTTTTAAATCAATTCCTAGTTCCGTTATATAACATTTCCTTCACCTTTTCACCTTTAAGTAGCACACTACGCCCTCTCCTCTGAACGCACCCTATCCTATTGGACCCATGCGCAGTGGAGCTCAGGTTATGGATCCATCAGTTTAGCATCAGACGTGTACCAGAACGGACCATGAACCGGTAAGTAGTTTAATCTTTACCCTAAAGCTCGATTGATAATTATCTAAAGATTTAACTTCATATTAAACACAAAGCTTTATATAGATGCTTAATTTTATCTTGTTTGTCTGTTTGCTACACTATAATAAATAAATGGTAATGTTGTCTAATCACATAAAAAGAAAGTTAAGCTTGTGGAGTTTCCTTGCAAAACTTTTATAAGTTTAAGGTAAATAGTAAAACTACCTTTATGTTTAACTTTTTATAAAATTTAGAACACAGTGTAAATGTACTTAGATGATTAAATTTTTAAATGTTAGGAAAACTATTGTTGGATTAATGATGGATTAGGAAATTTTAAACGTTAAATTTTTTTTAGCTTAAAACTTGTGCCCATTATTAAAATAAAAAACGAGCGTAATTTTATTATTCTTTAGAATGTTTTTTGCATAGTCGAGATAGCTTAAAGCACGTTTGAGATTTACATTAAATGCAGAGTTTCTGTCTGTAAAACTATTTTATTTTCTTATATGAATCTGGTTACTGAATAAATCGACAGAAACATTATATGCTAGAATATGTTGTGGTTTCAAATTTAATATTCAAAAGAAGGCTTTAAATCATAAAGTAGCGTTTATTTAAGTACATGATGTATAATTATTGTGAAGGTATATAATTTTTGTAATATAACAAAAAATAATAACATTTTAAATGCGTTCTGAATATGCAAGGAAATAGTCCACTGCCTAATTTAAAGTTTACTGACAAAATTTAGAAATTTTTATGAAACAAATAGAAGGAACGTATAAATAATTGAACATGTATAACTTGATTTAAAATTACCAATTTATTTAGATTTATATTCCTAATAATAAATTTAATTTAAACCTTTAATGATGCTTTACTAATTACTAAGTATTAATTTAATGTATATCTAATGTGTATTTGTTACTTTGTATGTATTACCCTCTGTATATATATTTATACATATTTGTCTATATTTTTGTCATCTTTTAAAATAAAATTTTATTTTACTAACTCGGCAAAATTCCGTCTACGGCACATCTTACACGGGATATAGAATACAAATTAAAAAAAAAAAACAGAATACAAATTTGCTCGTACTAACCAGGCTTGGCAGGCGAATTGGTACAATCCTTTTTTTATACTTTTAAATCGAAAATAAACTGTAATATGAGAATTTCTCATATTACAGTTTAAT